AGAGGAGCGTGTGGGGGTTTGATGCAATGCGCGATGAGGATGGGGATATTCTGATGGTTGACGCCTGACAACATCAATGAGAGAAGAGTAAGCACTTTCTCACTATTATTATGTGTTGAATTATAGTCTAACTTTGCACCATTTGTCTTATTTTTACATGAGAGTTCACTTGTGTAATCGAAGGCGTAAACGTAGACATGTTTGTCGCATATTGTCTTTATGATATTAATTCTGGAACTTGTTAATCGCGGCTAATGATTGTAGCAAGTATGGAATTTGGTGCTAAGTGGTAGTCGTAGAATGCGCTTACTGCACGTTTACTACTTGTTTAGTATATGCATCATTGGATAAACTTGTGCAGGATAAAATGAGAAGATTTCTTAATGATATAGAGTCTCACATACCAGCATGCTATTAGTCTTGATTATGTATTTTCTGTACATTTGTGTTGTCATTTAAGTATATACATGCCAAATCTTGATGGGAATACACATGTTTATAGCTAGAATAGGAAGTTTACAAGTTGAAATCAGTATTTTAAACTTTGTTGTATGCTTGTCAGAAAAGTTGAAACCATTATGCTTGGAGTGACGTCTTGACATTGAGTGTTTGCCATAGTCTAGATTAGACTCGTGCCACTCTGCCTTCAGTAATAGAGCATTCAAATCTGAGTTGCACTTAATAAATTGGTATTCTATCCTTTTTGACATTTGGCTTTCTGTGGCATTTCTCTCCCATTCTCAGCCCTTTATGTCATAACTTGCCTATCTACCTCCTTGAACCCCCCTTTTAGCAAAATATCAACAAAGCTTCAATGGGTTTTCAGGCTCTACCAAGGAAGGTTGATGAGGGTAAGTATTTTCCGAGCGTGTATAAAATGAAAATCACGAGAACAAGAGGAAAGGGGGGTGTAAACTTGACTTCCCAAAAAACAAAAGAATGCAACATATGAAAGAATAAAATAAATGAGGAAGTACTACTTCCTATACAGAGAAAGCAATCAAACTAACATCCTCCAATACTAGAAAGTCCATATATGTCAATATGTACTAGAGCTCGAAGTCGTCGTGGAAGGTAAATAGGATTGTACTCCTGATAATAGCGCTGGTCTTAACCATCGGATGCAAGTGAAGTGGCAACCTAGTTTCCCTTACGGTAACTGTGGAGAACAATATCATGATCAAATGAGAGAACATGTTTGATATGTCTAGAATGATCTGAATCGTTCATGGTCCTTCACTCCTAGTGATGCAATGAACAATCACAAACGAGTTTGCTTTCACCCAAATGTTGATAACCCCAGTTGTCGAATAAGTAAAATTTCATCCAAGATAGTCCGTAATTCTGTCTTCAATATAAGACAATTTTTATATGATGATGAGAAAGCCCTAACGTAGTGTCCATTTTGATCACGAGTAATGCTTCAACACTAGCAAAATCATTCTTGATGCAATCATTGGTGATGATCTTGTAAGATTCCATCGATGCAGTACGCCAAAGAACCAATATAGAGGGTGCTGGAAGGAAAAGTCAAATAAATATCAAAAATTGAGGCGAGCCAAGTTCTTACGTCAATGAACAGGTTGAAATAAACGACAGAGAAGTGAAATCATGAGGTAGACTCTCCAAATGATCCGTCTAGGCTCTTGCGTATCTCCTTATGCTGTGCATCATTCCACTCAATCTATAAGAACCAAAATATCAATTAAGGAATGATAATACGAATGCGGCCCTTTGGGACATATTGGCCTGAGTATCTTCATCTCTGGTCTACCTTCTTGACCGTGTGGTCCCATGTCCAAATTGTTTTCTTTTTCTATGTAATTTAATCTTTAGCTCCCCAATCCTTGTTGTTTCTTCCTATGAGTGCTGCAGATATCCATACATGATGTGTTGATTATAAGAGGAATATGTGGCGAAGAGTGATCTCCAAATTTCATCAGTCACAAACGTAGAAACTTTTACTTTATATAACCTAGAGCGAATGATTCTATTGTGGCATTGAAATACCGACAAGCTACCACGTGCCAGCCATTTCTAAGCTGAAAAACCATGTGCATTCCGTAGTCTATTTTTGTAGGCGCTTTAAAACAGCTCTATCAAGCATGGGCATGATGAAAAGTGGATTTTTATTTTGTTTGTCATTCTGAATGAAAAGTAGTCCATATCATAAAGATAAACATGGACAGTAACCCTATTGATAACGAATGACATGGAAATAGCAATAGCCATTCTTGAATCATGGTCGGCAAAAAAAATATAATGAAGCCCTTTTATTTTGAAAAAATTCTAGAACAGAATAAGAATGAGAGTTCAACTATTCTCTATCATTGTAGTTCCATAGTTACTAGGCCTGATCCAAGCATTGATTGGCAAGGCAGTGACACTGGTTAGATGATTGCTTGGAAAATCATGCAGTGTAATCCAAAAATAGGAAGTGTAAGAAATTAATGAATTAGATATTTGATTTTAATCCAAGTCAAAGTCAAACAATCAATATTAACCACATCTTTCATGGGTGCTACAACTTTTCAACCACACATTTCAAAAACCTCTATCACAATCTACTAAAAATCTAATTTTAATCCCCACCAAACACCCTCTAATATGCATGAGAACCGGAAAAGATTTGAAATTACGAAAAGGAGGATAATCTAGAAACTTTGTCCTTGCATGTATGGTAATTTATTTTTGAAATGGTCAACTACTTTCTAATCCGGGCCAAGGTGGTTTACGTTAAACTCGCCAGTTTACCTGGAGTTTTTGACCAATTTGAATGAAATCTGGACTAGCAAATTGGCTTGGGTTGGTTAACAGTCCCAGGTGGTTAGTTTCTGGACCGACCGGTTTGGTCCGGGTTATAAAACTATGAGCTTACTAAATTTGGTCCCACTACCATCAAAGTAAGGCATTTAAAATTAATGTAAATCTAGTTACTTTGCTTATTAGAAAGATGAACACGTGTTGTCACATGAATGCATACCAGGATAATAAGTGCCTAATGCCAAGCATTTAACTTGCCATTGAGGTTATGTAAGTAATCACTGTTTATTGCAGTATGAAATTGCATTATATAGCTTGAAAAAGAATAAGTTGAAAATTGAAATAAGATGCAGTCTGCATGAGTACTGTCAGTAGAATACAGTATAAACTTGTGAAATTGTCTTGGGACGTAGTAATTTATGTTTTTAGGTCTCGTGGTTTCTAATAAAGTTGTCATTGTTGGAAGTTTCTTATAATCATATTACCGTGCCTTTATGAATGCTAATTGTCTTCTTTGAGTTTGGTGGAAAGCTCTAAATACTAGTACTACTTTTTTATCCCTTTTTTTGTGAGAAGCGTCCTAGAGGTGTCAGTCTCACGAGTGCCATAAGAATATTGTTTCCTTTATCAACTCAATCATTTTGTAATTAATTGGTGATCACCGAATACTTCTTGAATGCAGATTCGTTGCAAAATTGACTATTTCATTGGGTTCTATCTGTGAATTTTGCATATCTTTGTTCTGAAGACATCTATGAGTATTTTCATTACCAGAAAATGTACTTTTTATTGCCTTGAAACAATACTGATCCTTTTTTGATATCTGATCTACAGGTTAATGTACAGTGGCTTCAACAAATCTAGCCCAGCATAACTTCTGGACCTGCAGACAACTGTTCACAGTTCGGCTTTTCTATATGGTTTTATCGATTCATTTTGCACAAGTTGAGTAGATGAACAAAGGTACCTATGCAGTGAGAGTTTTTCCTGGGAAAGGTGAGGATGCTGCAGAATAGTTCGGTGTTCTTAGAACCTAATAAAAAAAATCAAGATTTTGTAGAATTTGCTGAAAGGATGAAGAAAAAGGAGTGACAGACTGACAGAGAATGTAAGGAAAAAAAAATAGCATGGGATGATCGGGACAGGGTACACAAGATACAATAAGGTTTAATAAATGGTAAAGGAAATTTATGTAAATTCCTATAGAAAAAATATGGAACGGATAGATACAAGCAAGAGAGGTGCATGCGGCTCAGAAATCCATTCCTGAGAAAAATAACAGAAAAAAAAAAATAGAAGTCGGTTTGATACTAATGAACCTTGTTTGTAAATATTATATATTTTGTTCGACTTATAGATGTAAATCTTGATAGTTTCCTTCGAGTTCTGTATGTATAATGGCAGTGGATGTTCATGGTATTTATCAATAAACTCAGCAGTTTTACTTATTTTGACAATTTTGTTAGATGCCGAATTCGCCTCTCTTTACATAACACACGTGTGTATACTGTTTCATTCTGGTCTATGTTTTCTACATTTTCACATGATTATTGTGTTCCCTTTTTAGTCGCTTCTGGATCATAATTTTCCTTCTCTAACTGAATGTAAAAGATATGCTACACGAGACAATATTACAAGATAGTTATTCTAATTACATCGATCTATCGAACATGAATAGAACAATTCAATTAAAGAATACGAATGAAAAAAGCATAAATATAAAGAAGACTATGCATGTACATGGATGGGAATTGGGGTGAGCCGCTTCCCATAGTGCCTCGAAAGTGAGTGTGGATAGCTCAACTCATTCCGAAAGTGAGTTTTGAGATGTGATGAGCTGACTCAAAAAATCTAATATTAGCTAGCATTTTGGTTCATGAACTCTCAAAGGGCTCAACCTATGTGCTAGGTGCCATCAAATCATAATAGTCGTTTGGCTGCAATTTCAATTTGAAATTTTTATTGTTATTTTTTAAAATAGAAATAGATTATAGATATTAATTTAAAAAATAAAAATCATGAGGCAAACGACTAGTGAAGCGCCAGCGGTTCGGCTCACCCCGGGCCGAACCGAGCCCATTAACATTTGATATAAATTGATGTCCCACCAATCCATACTCTTCTAATTGTAATCCACAACCATTCAATCCAACCCAAAAAATATCTGAATTTGTTAAGGTCCACGGTCATGGAGATGAATACAGAATACACACACTGTAACTCTCTCTGCGCATGCAATGGCAGCTCTCGAATCTGCCAATTTTGCGCCTCGATTCAGCTCGCACTTCACGTTAAACACCAATAGAATTCATCCTCGCAAGCGATTATCAAGTAAATTCGGGGAAAAATTTAACCGGAAAACTTTAAAGTGTTCTCTTGTCGAAAAGCAAAAGCAGGGGGATAAGGAGGTTTCTAGAGTGTTTACCAAGGAAGAAAACGGGTTGATCGATGCTCTTATAGGAATTCAGGGCCGCGGCCGCTCTGCTTCTCCTCAGCAACTCCAAGTACGCCACTATCTTAACAGAGAGACTTGTAGAACCTTGTCTAAAAGTTTACATTGTCTATGAGATTACATTTATTTATTAAACTTGATGTTCTATGTTTCCATTTCAGCTCGTTAATCCCTGAATTCGCAATTTGATTACAAAATGGTAAAATTTGCAAGGAAACCGATTGATTAACTGGAAAAACCTCTAGTGACCAATTGCAGTTGAAACTCGAATTTTTCCGTTTTGGAGCCTGATATCATATTGAAACTTCAGGAACAAAATGAACTAGTCGAAATATCAAGGGAAAAAGCCAATTTTTTTTTTGAAACTCTAGGAACTATTGTGACCACCCTAAGAATAATAGGTGCATGAATCCCACTAATAGTTTTTAAGATTTCCCAAAAAAAAAAAAATTTTTTTCTCTTGAAGTTTTAATTCAAACACTTTTAGACTCTAATGTTTCGATTTTATCATAATTGTCGAGTTTGTTGTTGTAGAAATGCAAATCCCCTTCTTGTCATTGAATTTCTGAAAAGTTTGTCTCAATAATTCAGGTCGATTTGTCTTATACATCACGTATTTGTTTGTCCATTTATCATTGTAACATAACAAATCAGTTTAGACAATGACACTATTAAATATTGGGAGCCAAAGTATTGAAATCGAAATTGAAACTTTCAAGGATAATGTTGAAGTTGAAACTGAAATTAGAGCACTTCATGGACATTTATCTAGCTGTATTTTTTCGAAGATATCGAATATTAGTTCTTCTCGATCAATTTTCTGTTTTCACATTTCTTATTCTTTTCCTGTTGCATATGGTAATCAGTTCAATATGTGAAAATTTTAAATTATGCAGGAGGTTGAACGTGCAGTGCAGATCCTAGAAGGTCTGAAAGGCACGTCTGATCCAGTGAGTAATGGTGTATTTTCAATGGTTTATCCATGTGATCACAAGTTATAATATTACGTGATAATCTGTACATTGTGACACTGAGAGAGAATGTATTGACTGGACAGACAAGTTCAAGTTTAATTGAAGGTCGATGGCAGTTAATGTTCACGACAAGACCAGGAACAGCATCTCCGATTCAGGTGAAATTTCCTATTATTGGAATTACTTTAGTTCCTTTACTGGAAGTTCTCAGTCACTGCATTTCATCTTTGAATAATGTATCTCTATTTTTATTTTTCAAATTCATACTTCTGTCCTTCCTCTTGGCAACTAGAACTAAATTTGCAAACTTCAATCTCAAGTTTCCATTTCCATTACACAGTATATCAGTTTCTTCTACTGACATGGATTAACAAGTAATGACTTTATGTTAGTGAAGCAGGAAACATTTTCATTGGTAACAAGTGTCTCATTATTCTTGTAGAAACCAGTTTTAGCTTTCAATGATCATTAGCCAGTTTTTTAATACTGATGCAGAGAACATTTGTCGGGGTTGACTCCTTTAGTGTATTTCAAGAGGTATATCTTCGAACGGATGACCCTCGTGTGTCCAATGTTGTAAAATTCTCTGATGCAATTGGTGAGCTGAAAGTAGAGGTATGACTTCATTATCATTTGGCAGTTTCAAAAATATTCCCATAAACAATACTTCAGGTTCACTTTTTGCACTTACTTCATTAGGCACTGTGTTTAAAAATGGGCCATGGAATCTTGGCTGGATGAACAACTGATATACCAGTGTTATAGATCATTTTGGCTTTGCTGATTCTCTTTTTACTTTACACACACATATTTAGCACTTGAATACCTTACAATATGCATCTTTTCTTTGTTTTTGTCAGGCAGTGGCATCAATTAAAGATGGCAAAAGGATCCTTTTCCAGTTTGATAGAGCAGCTTTTTCTTTTAATTTTTTGCCCTTCAAAGTCCCATATCCTGTACCTTTCAGACTTCTTGGAGATGAAGCCAAGGGCTGGTTAGATACTACATATTTGTCTCAATCAGGAAACATTCGTATCTCACGTGGAAACAAGGTAAACCAGGCTCATAATTTTCTTCTTTCAACTATTAATTTTTCCGTGATAACATCTCTTCAAGGCACACTTTGGCAAGTTTTACTTCTGGAAATCTATATAGTAGGAATTAACGACTATTAGTTGCATTGATGAAGTGCAGGGAACTACATTTGTGCTGCAAAAGGAAACTGAATCAAGGCAAAGATTGCTATCAGCCATTTCCACTGGTAGAGAAGTCAGAGAGGTCTGAGTTATCTCCACAAAATGTGTCCAAAAAGAGTTGTTTCTGGTTCTAAGAAATTATGTTAACCATATCTCTTCCATTTGATGACCATGTGATGATGTAAACACCATATGCAGGCAATTGATGAGTTCGTTTCCTTAAATCAAGATGTAGTTAAAAATGAATTGGAACTTCTTGAAGGAGAGTGGGAAATGATATGGAGTTCACAGGTAGTTTAAAGATAAATTAGACCCCTTTGAATTATTTGAGGAATCTGGAAACTATGCCTTTGTTTCGCTAAAAAGTTCGTTTTCAAAGTCAAACGTTAATTTTAACCACATATTTCATAGGATCCACAAGTACTACCTACTTATTTCTACCAACTTATAATTTTAGCAAAAAAAAAATGAAAAACTCAAACAAAGGCTATATAACTTTTTTTGGGTACTTGTTCATTCTCACAAGCTCCTTGTCTTGGGCATAGAATGGCATCAATAAAGCTAAATTTAAATGCTCAACTAATTGAAATGTATTGAAAGCAAAATATCAATATTGAGCTCTTGTTTGATGGCCATTATTTTGAGAAAATGGAGTTTTGAATAGTGATTTTTTGGAGAATGTGTGGTTAAAAAGGAAAAGTTTTGAGTTTACGTGCAAAAATATTTTATTGTATAAATGTGTGGTTAAAAATGAGTATATGAATTAAAGAGTTTTGAAATAATGGTGGTCAAACAGGGGCTAAAGCTACAGTTTGACTCTCATTTGTTGCAGGTGGAAACTGATAGCTGGATAGAGAATGCTGCAAATGGCTTAATGGGCAAACAGGTGTCCCAGACCATCCTCCTTCACATCTTTATAATATATCTTCTTGGCATTGTCGTTTTCTTTCTTTTCTTTTTTGTAATTCATCATCCCATTCATTCTCATGTGTCTTGTTATTTTCTTCTTTTATGTTGGCACTCTAGATTGTCAAGCCAAATGGAGACTTGAAGTTTGTTGTTGACATATTTTTCGGGTTCAAATTTTCCATGACTGGAAAATATGCGTAAGCTCTCTGCTACATAGACTTCCTCGCTCTCCAGCAACAAACAATATAGTGTTCTCACAAGTATATGATCACATTTGATTCATCATTGTATAATTCTCAACAATTAAACACACTGACACTTGTTTTTGACAAAATGGGAAACAACTACATGAATAATATTGCTTCATTCCATTATTTACAAATCATTTAGCAACTAAGAGTCATTTTAGTTTCGGCCTACCCCACTCTCTTCTGACTGATATTGTATGACTCTTTGAAATTGAAACTCTTTTAAGAAGGATTCATATTGTAAGATTTGATAAAATTTTACACTGACTGTTAACTTATCGTTGATTAACTATGAAAAACTTGGGCAGAGTTACATAATTCTAACCAATAATGGCATCGCGTTATTGGTTTTCAGGAGATCTGGTTTCAATACATATGATGTTTCAATGGACGATGCAGCAATTGTGGCTGGTCCATATGGCCTTCCGGCAGAAATGGAAAGCAAGTTCACGTTGGAATTGCTGTAAGAAACTTAATTATTATCATGGATATTAGGCTGGCCAAACTTATCAGTTAAAATGAGTTAATTTTCTTCTTCCCTTTGAACGTGCAGGTATACTGATGATAAAATTAGAATTATTCGGGGCTACAACAAAATTCTTTTTGTTCACATCCGTGTCAAATGAGAGGGAAACAGTTGCTAATGAACTATTTGGTAAGGTGGACCACGTAACATTGGTTGTGTATGACAATGCACACTAAACCTATCCAAAGTGAATGCCGTACACCTTTTAGCTCTAAATTGTACGTATTAGATAAAACTTGATTGTATAATTGAGATCACATATTCTGTGTATAATTGTATTATGTTGCAACTTATGCTTTCAGATCAATGAACAGCAAAAGTAATTTTTGTTGCAGAATTTTCGACCATGCCAAGCTAATTTGATGTTCATCTTCGACTCGCACTTCTATTTTCGATAGATGTACAACATTTTACTAATACTTGTGTTTTCTTCCCACATTTGAAGCTTTTCTTTGTTGGGGATAATATATAGATACATACATATATACAATTATACAAACACGAGATGGAAAATGGGTGCATGTGGAAATTCAATAGCAGCTGAAAATATGATGTGGAATGAAGACTCCTGCAGTGAGTGGAAAGGAGGGATTCTGTAGGTTCCCTTATTGTCCATTCTTGGCTTTTCCCACTTGTGCTTGAATGGAAGAATCTGCTTATCACTTCAACTTGTTGAAGCCTTATCTTTGAAGGTCGGCGAAAAGGTACTGGTAACTATCGCTTTATTAAGAGATGACAATAATTTTGTTGCATCCGAGTACGAAAACACAAGTTTTCCTCTGTATATTCAGTCATATTATTTGCTTCCAAACTTGGCATAGCCTTTTTCCTTTTCATTTTCTAGCTGTAATAAGGAAGTGGACGTTTCAGTACGTTGAATGTGCTTCCTTTTCATGTCCATTAACTCCTTACCACAAGTTACAAAGCCGAAACCTATAGCGAGGTTATGGGATTGTTCGAAAGAGCAATCAAAAGGAAGAAAACAACTAGGCCCCGTTTGGGATAGTTTCTGCTTTTGTTTTTAATAAAAAGGTTTCGCGAGAAAATCACTTTAAATTAGGGCTGTCCGTAGGTCGGTTCGGTTCGGTTCTGAAGAGACCCGAATCGACCCAAAACTTTCGGGTATTTAATAAATAGACCCGTCGGGTCCAAATATAATTATGGAACCCTTCGGGTTCGATTCCGTTCGGTTCGGTTCTGATCGGTTCGGTTCCGTACCATAATTAAATTTTTTAATATTTACAGCAACACTACATAAATACAACTAATGGCATTTCATTCGTAACTTTTACAAATTAACGTAGCCCAATGAATGTGCTTCCTTTTCATGTCCATCAACTCCTTACCACAAGTTACAAAGTCGAAACCTATTGCGAGGTTATGGGATTGTTCGAAAGAGCAATCAAAAGGAAGAAAACAACTAGGCCCCGTTTGGGATAGTTTCTGCTTTTGTTTTTTTATAAAAAAGTTTCACGGGAAAAGCAGTTTAAATAAGTTTCTTTTGAAAACTCTTTTAGAGCATCTCCAAGAGACAATAAAATAATCTAAAGAAAAACAAGTTAAAATTAAAGATAAACAAAAATAAAAAATATTTTTTGGAAATAGTAAACTTAAGTGTTAAATATAAAGAGATTGTTGGAGTACTTCAAAATTTTAACTCTAAATTTATAGATACTTTTCAAATGATAGAATATGCTATTTTAAAATAGAGAGTCTATTGAAGATGCTCTTAATCAGATAAAAGAACTTCAGAAAATTATCCAGACAGACACCAAACAGCTTAGTTTCCAAACCAGAACCTGGAAAGGGATATACGGTGAATAGTTCGTACGTGATAGCATTTTGCGAAGGGGTAGTATCATTCTTTTCGAGTCACTTAGTTTTGATCGGATCATGGCCTTCCGTGCTTGTGCGGTCTCTTGGTACATAGCCGGGCCTCGTCCAACATTGAAGAACCTGTCCGTAAATGCAACAAAAAACAAAATCTATTACTAAACTACCCATGCCGTCCATCTTCAGATTGATTCATTGCCTCGTATGTACTTTAGGCCCTTCGGCTAAACTTCCTGAATCCCGTCACAAAATCTAGACAAGTTTCCCCATTTTCTTTGCTAAATGCAATTGTAGTTTAGGCTCCTCGATGAAATGTAAACTTCGATTCTATACACCCAGATTTCATCTTAGTACAACAAATTACTTACAATCATACTTTCACTACCGCACTTAGAAAACTGGCTTTGGACAGAGTGAATAAAAATACACCCAAGAATAACTCAGCATGGTAATTGACTGCCTTCCACAATGACAAGACAAATCCAAGTAAATGCACAAAGAAACATTTTATGAAATAAATAGATGCCCATTATAAAAATTTCTGGAAAGATAATAGCAAATGTGATTCTTTTAACATATCAAAATCCAAGCTGCAAGAATCTTTGGACTTCAATATGAAGCATCGAACTACCATAGACATCAGCAATCAGAAAGCCGAAATACAACGTAGGTAAAGAAAGCAAGCTAAAAGAACATAAATAAACCTAAAAATATCTCACATTCTTGGAAATTCATACAGGACACGTGCAATATTAAGTACACACATTGTATAGCATTATAACTCTGTTATCACAATCATTAAGCTTCAAATTCCAAGGTTCAGTACAAAGGAGAAATCTGCACATTTTGTCTTCAACAGAAAGCTTCATGGTGACATTGTCATTCTGTCTAGAACTTATAAATGGCCTCCATCACACCCAAAAAAAGAGATGCAGAAAAGAAATAAAAGCTGAAGAAAAATCTACATATAGGGACCATCCACTACTGGACTGCCCAGAAGCTTGTATGTTCAAAGTTCAAACTACCCTCTACTTGCTGAGGTCTCAATTCCTCAATTCCCAAGACACTACTCCGAAATTGCTTTATCCTCTACACGTCCAACCTCTTCCATACAAACATCTAATACTACTGTCTTATGCTCAGATGCATCAATAACATTATTCTCAGCCTTCACCTCCTCATGCACATACTTGTTCTTCTCAATATCATTCTCTTCTTTTTCTTCAACACTTAAAATGTTCTCCTCAGTTTTACTTGCTTCAGCAAACTCATCACCGTTTTTATCCTCTTTCCCATTACCATTTTCGATGTTCTCCTCATTGTTATCAGCATCAATAAACCCATCATCATTATTCTCTACTTTCACTACAATGTCTAATAGAACATTTTGATCATTCATAGCTTCTGCTTCTATACCCACACTACAACGATTATCCACATCTTTCCCATTGAAATCCCCATCCTCTACAACATTTTCTTCACCCAAATCGTCATTGTTCTCTTCCGTCGAATGAGTTTCCTCCCCACGACTCACACTCTCATTCTCAGATTCATTCTCCACAACCTCCTCGTTGATGTCCTCACGTTCTCCAATACCCCTTATCCTCTCAAGACCCTGCAACCTCCTCCTCAATTCCGCAAACTCTCTCTCCATCAGAAACAACCTCTCCTTCAGAATCAGATTCTCCTCCTCCAAGTGTGCAATATGTGTGTCCTGATCATCAACTCGATTCTCCAACACATTGTGGTACTCCATCCCACCAACATTCATGCCGTTCGGATTATAAATCATCTCAAACCGGCTCAAGTCATGGTCCAACCTCCTTTCCATCTCAATATGCTCCTCCACATCACTCTCGCTAGAACCTCCATCATCTTCGTCCTCATCCTCATGAGCATCCAATTCTTGACCAGGTGATCTCAATCTAATCAACCCTTTCATTGATCCATACCCATCAACACCCCACTCTTCCTTGGCCATATCCACGAAAACCTCCCTTGATGGGGAGAAAATCGGGGTAGGCAGAACTGCAGGTGTCACAGGGCACGGAGAAACCAAAGAAGCAATCCCACCACTCTTCTTTGCCCTAATTATATAGGAACTAGTGTTTCTAGGTGCAAACGGAGCAGACCTACTATTGTTCTTATTATTACCCATATTTGTATTCATGCTATTCTTGTTGAACTTCTTTTTTGAAAAGAATTTTCGCGTCTTCAATCGATTCTGATGCTGCAACTCATTCACAGTGGGCGGGTTATAATTATTAAAATTCAAATTCCCACTGATATTAACACCACCTGCAGGCGCCCCAGTGCTAGAGCCAGCCATTAGGACTTTCTGCTGCTCCATCCTCCGCTTATCATTCTTCACATTTTTCCCCTTCCAGTTATTCCTTGGGCCCAACGGCTTAGATGACTTGCCAAAAGGTAATGACGGCTGTTTCATGCCGGAAAGACCTTTAGGGTTAGGGTTGGGGTTTTGGAATTGCAGTTGTGGCTGCATAGGCGGGGCCCACATCCCGTAACTCCGATTCATCATCTGTGAACGAGACTGAAAATTCATCAGATTATTCAACTTCAAAATTATTGGAAATATTCAGATTCTTTTTCCTGACGAGTAAAAATTACCTGTTGCTGCGGCTGATTCATTTGACTCATACTAATCATCGGATTTTGATTCGCGTTCATCATTTGCTGCTGCTGCTGTTGTGGATTCATCATTGCTGCTTGCTCGTTCATTTCTATGATCTCAGGAGATAAAAAAAAATCACAACAAATCGTAAACAAACGTCAATGCAACTCCAAAAAATCAACAATCCGAATCAGGTTATATTCTCTTAAAGATATCACAAATTTGGATAATAATAATAATAATAATAATAATAATAATAATAATAATAAATCAACAAAATTCAAAAATTGGAAATACAAAATCAAACTCAAACTGACCCTATAGAATTATCTGCAGTAATTGAAATTGAAATTGAAATTTAAAATCAGAATCAGAGAAACTAAATTTTAATTTCTACTTTAATCTTAATTATTGATTCTCTCTCTCGAATTGTCGATGTTCTATGTTCATTGTGGAGGCGAGGGTAAGGCAGTTTATATATGGGTGGGGAAGGAAACGTACGGTTTAGATCCCTGTATGACAAATGGACGGATGAAATTCCATAACTTTGTCAAACTTAGAGTTGGAATAGAATTGACCTCTGATCGAGACTAAATTACAATACTGCCATTTCCATTGGGGATCGGGATGACTTAACGGCGTTCTCTTTTTGATATGCTTAACTGCGTAATTCTGTTTGTTTCGGCTGGGATGCGAATGTCCTCTCAGCACGCTAAACGTGAACAATTATCATTATGCTTTTGTAATATTCTCTCTCGCGTTGAATATTTTAGAATTGCTTTAATCCTTAAACACGAAATCTAAATTCTTTTTTTATTTTTTTTATTTCAAATTCATAAGCATGTATAAGAAATAAAAATAGGAGTAGATAGGGCCATAGCACCATGTAATGTAACCATACATGAAGGAAAAATTATGAAAATTGCACCAATAAAAGTCATCGTATCACTAATCAAATCGATGAATCGATATTTAAAAACTATAAATTAAACTATCTGAATAATTTGCATGCTTTTTCTATTGTTTAGATTTGAAGTAATCACAAATCTAATAACAAGTACAGATTTCTTAAAACTTATTTTTTTTTCTCAAATTCGTTTTTAAGTGCACGTTCTTTTAATAAAATAATTTTGCATGTGAATTTGTAACATTTTCCTATTTTTTAATCAAACATTTTTCAAAAAATAACTTTACTTTTATCTCAAATTTGGAAATCATCGATTTGATAAGACCTTACTTAATATATAGATATATTTTGCCTCACTAATGTACATGTAACTTGTATGCTGTATGCATAGAATTGAGGCACATGATGTTAAAGAGTGCACACGAGTGACAATTCGAAAAAGACCATTGATCAAATTTTTTCACATATATAAGTGCTTTTAATAATGTTGTAATTAATGTCGCCATCGACGTGGAAAATGTTGTTTTAAATAATTCTATTTACCGTTTTCCTCTTATAGTGTGAAGATTGTCCACATGAAATACATTTAGGCCAATAAGATCGCATGGAAGAAATAACGAGTTCTAATATATTTTCAATATACTTTTCATACTTGATTAATTAGTTATTTTCACATATGAGTGCTTTTCTTTTTTTTGAGGTCAATAAGTTGTATACTTTCTATAATCTTTAATGTCCAAATTATGCTTTAGTTACACCTTTTTGTATCTATTTGACATTTTTATGCGTTTATATCCATGCTTCCTAGTCTCTGTGCAACGGCTTGCCTATTCAGTTGACACCATTACCAGCTAACCTACAGTCAACCGGGTGAACTTTTACAAATGCATATCTATAAATACTAGATTCACCGTTTGAGGGATCGGCTATTGGATTGCCAGTTTTAGATTACTAAGCCATCACTGTTCTTGGAGAACATTGAAAAAATTGAGCATTTTTGAGCCTCATTTTCTTCAAAATGCATTTTGAAATAGTATTTTGATGAAAAATATGTGATTTAAAAATAAGAAAAAATTGAATTTACGTTAAATATTATTTTATTAAAGAATGTGTGATTATAAATAAGAGAGAAATATATTTTTTGAAAATATTGAGGACCAAGCAAGGGCACATTTAAATTTTAAAAAAAATTAATGAATAGATGAGAATGTGATATAAATATTGAACTCACTTTTTAGATGTGTAATAAAGGTCTGTGTTTAACACGAACTTCACGTGATGTTTGTTAAAATTCATTTTCAATTACTCATTCTTTTAATAAAATAATTTTGCACATAAATCCATAACACCTCTATTTTTTAACCACACATTTTCTGAAAAAAATAACTTTACTTTTATCTCAAATTACACACATACCAGATACTAGAAATCATCAGTTTGATAAGACCTCGTATATCTGTATAACTTAATGATTTTTAGGCTATGTAAAGGAACTAAAATAGAAAGATATCGACTAAAGCAGATCTCTTTTACATGACCTAACAATCCAAACAGCCACACTATATCATCATATGCCAGTGTTCGGGTTGTTTCCAGCAAGGATAAGAGAGATTTCCAGCCCTCTACTGAATGCTTGGTTGAACATAAGTCGGGTCTGGAATGTTGAAGCAAATGGAAACCATGAAAAGAACGCAACAGGGATGAAAATAAGCATCCCCATTCCAGCATCGTATAGACGAGCAATTGATCTTATTGACTTCCACAACCCCAATTTCTTCATCAAAGGCTTCCAAGCACAAGCAATCTAGAAAAAGATAATCGCGTGAAACGATATAATTGAAGATAAATTCTACTGTTTTTTTAAGAAAAAAAAAATACAATATGTAGAGAACGTTAATCAATGTAGAGGTAAAGAAGGAACCTACAAGAATCGAATCAAGCCCATTAACATTAACAAATAATACTATCACCTTGAACAACACCATCTTCCTAGCATTTATTCTCTCTCAAAGCGGGCACATGAGCTTGGATTCAGCTGGGTATGGCCCCAGTTTAGTAATGCACGAGAACATTGAGGAATAGGTTGCCAAAATACTTGGGTGTTTTCGGTACTAGGCTATATTATTCTTATAGAGAAATCAAAGAATATATTACTCAGATTAATTAACAAATTCATATAAGACCGAAATGGAAAATCTGTAGAATAGCTGTAACATCTGTTGGGGTAATATAAGACCAAAATGTTAGATCATTCAGAATTTAGAAGCATCATCTGTGTGGCTGCGGTGAATTTATGGCATGTTTGGTCATATCTAATGAAGACCCCTAGATGTATAGATAAGGAAAAGTGACGTTATCTAGAAAAAAAAGGATAACCTAAAATTATAGGAGATTATAAAAAAGAATTGATAGAGAGAGAAGTGGAAAAAGCTGATCTATGTAGCAGGCGATAAGCATGAAACTATGTGTTGTTGAGTAAGCAATAACATATGCACACAATCAAGCCTCCCAAAATATGCAACTCCATCTTGTAAAAAGGAAATGTTCCATGATCCAGTCGCTTGCTCTAATCATTAAATTTCATGCAAGTGATGGGAGATTGGCTTTTGAACCATTGCCGTCCAAAAATATAAGGGTAATAAAAAATCCACTACTTTTTCAGTTCAAACATAAAAATGATCCCAAGTCATGTGCAGCAATATTTATTTTTATGAAGTGAGTGCAGTATGTTGGAGTTTGTTGAGGGCAAACTTCCAAGGAATTAATTATTAACATGAGAATAGAAAACTTACACATAGAATTCCCCATCCAGTGGGTAAAAAAGCCAAGATGCAAGCGAATATGTCAGTAATAGAGAGATCAGTAAGTGCAACAGCAACAGCCAAACCAGCCAGTGCAAGCAAAAACGAGAGACCTTGGATAAACCGCAGCAGCAGCTGAAAATTAACTGAGATCTTCTGACTAAAGGTGAAGACCTGTGGAATAAAAAACAAAACCTCAATTCGACAAGAGTAGCTTATTGAAGGTAAGGTGTCGCTACCAATTATAAATTTATAAGTTTCAAGATCAGACCTTGAAAAGAATTAAAAGCAGAGCAAACACTATCCATGAAATCCCGTACGCCTGCAAATAATTGCACAATATGACAATTAGTTAATTCACCAATCAGCTGATTTATGCCACATAACAAAAAACATGAAGTAGTGGCTTAGAAAGAAAGTGGACAATTAGTTAGATCAGGGAGTGCCGTGGCAAAACTGATTGCGTTAAGAGGGAAATTCAGAATAATCTTTACTTGAGATTGAACTATACAATTGTTTTGCCTATTGTAGTCAGGCTCTACCTTCTTACAAGTAAAAAAAAAGGGCTATTCACCACAAAAGCTTGAGCTTAACTCTGCGATTAAGTTAAACAAGCCCAACACGAACGTGACGAACCAGGCTTACTTATTACATTAATAAATATCACAAACCTAAATGTGTGCAGATGCAATCATAAAAAAATACAAATAGAAAATTATAGACTACAAGTTTAAATATTTATGAGTACCAATTTATTGTAAAATAATAGAATTTCTATTATTTTTAATAAATAAATAATAATATAAATATCTATGTAAAGTGAGCTTAAATTTGAGATAGTTGAACTTGGTGCACTTGTGGTCAATTTACACCCATGTTGTACCCTTGTGTTAGGATTCCAAGTTTTCAATCAATGCCTGCGCATTTGGGTCTCTTTCAGAGTCAGATATTAAAGCAAATCAGGAAACAAATGCTTCTGCTCTAGACAAGTATAAAACCCATCTTGTCTCAAAGTTATGCAGCCCAACATGTAGGATATAACACATAATTTAATAAGCTTAGCAAATATTAGCTGACTCACAAAACTAATTTACCAAAAAGCATCTAATATCAAAAAGGTAATTAATTTAAGAAAGACAATCTATTTCTTGATTGTGTTCCTCGTCTACATGGAGTCAGGGATATTGAAAACAATCTCAGACTCGACACACCATTATGACAAATTGACAAGACGCTTTAACATAGCACCAGGAAATAGCTTGTATTTACACCATGCACGAAGAGTAACGAGTGCACCAAAACATGAACTCAAGCAGTCCTGATGGGTATAACTACCCCAAGCCAAAAGATGATAAGGAATTTCTCAGTAAGCAAAAGAGTACAATAGCCAAAGACAGCT